ATGGTGGGCATGTGGTGCACGCATTAGCGTGCGTAGCCCAACTGGTATGTTTATAGGATGGAAACCTCATTCGATAACGGTGTTATTATGACTCGACAACATTTGTAACTACCACACAGGGCTCGGTTGCCCACCAGTTGAACCCTCATAGGGTCATAATTTGTAAGGTAAACAGCAACAGACCAAAACTTCTAATTATAGGCATGAGCATCGGAGCATTTTGAATATCGTTTGCATCATCTGTTAGTCTTCTGTCTAAGTTCGCGTTCGAAATAGCATCATTTCTTATGAAGAAGAAGTGGGCCACTTAGCCGATTCTTGAAACTCTTTTTTACAAAAAGGAGGGAAGTTCGAAAGAGAAGGAAGGAAGAACGCGGAGTTTTGTCACATTTCGCCATCCTGTGGGGTTATAATGAGTGGGCACTCATTCTTTTTCAAACAACGACAGGGAGCAAGACATGGCTTAACTAAGAGTGAGTACTTGGCCGACTGATTTTATTCTTGGCTCTTTCTTTGATTACATTCAGTCGGTTGTTCTCCTCTGATAAAGTAGTAGTGATCGGCTAACTCTCCACTCCTTTGAATCAAATAATTTTTCCCTGTTCACGAAGTTTAGCGCAGGACTGACACGGCAGTGCAAATGATATTCAGTGTAAATCGAAGTCATGGCTTCAATTACAATTCTCGATCTTTTGCTCTTTTTCTTAAAATTAAAAACCCATTAAAGATTCAATTTTTTGAGAACCAAAGCCTTGGACAGTATCACAAATTTTTCGAGTGATGATAACACCATTATCAGATGTCGTTATCAGTGGTCTTTTTCTTTAGGGAAATAACACAGTTGAGATGTCCAGATTACTGGTGGTCGATTAAGCTCTGTAGCAAATGGTACGGAACAAAGAAGATCCTTAATTGAGTCACAAACTTTGCTTGGTAGCGGTCATAATCTAATAGCAAGAAACGAAAAATATAATTTTCATCTGAGCGGACGCAGAGCGTTCGAATCCACTAGGAGCACAATGGGCAGGATGTGAACACCTACGGTAGATAGCAGGACTAGACTTCACCCACTGCTGGGTTTTTCGCGCGAAATGGGTATTCCAGTAAAGAATAATAACTCCCGCTCCCTAGGTCAAACTTTGCAGAGGTACAGGCAACATTGTGAAAGTTGATGACAAGTGGTAGCAGTAGACTCCGACAAAAGTGGGCAAAGCGTGCGTGAAAACTAAGAGTTTCGATCTACAGCGTTCACAATCAGTTGGAGTACAGGAGGCAAGATTGGAACAGCAATGATAGGTGACCGGTCTAGACTTTTCCCACAGGGATGGAGCGTACGCGGAAACTGACAATATGGACCTTCACATTTGGAAGGGGTTTGCGTAGGAAGATGGGAATATCCCTGATAGAAGGTTGGACTACACTGTGCCTACAGGACGGGGAGCAACAGAAAGTTATTAATTTGGACCTGAAGCGTTCAAATTTCGTATGAGTATTGAAGGCATAGTGGTGAGTGCGCTCCTCCAAGGGATGCCACTGTTAAACTGCTGACTCTGTGGGCCGAGCTGATCACAGACATTCGAATGTACGCGACAGGCCCCCATGACAAGCCGGCACACGATTACCCATGTCACATCAACAATGTTAATGTCATTAGAGCAGTCTCGATGTAATGCTTCGGCGTCCGCGGGAGCCGACAGGCAATCGCAGATCCGGTGAGTGCTAAAAGTATGCGAGGGTTTCTGGTGCAGGGACGGGATCGGGGGTAACTAGGCTGGTCCAAAAGTCGCGCAACGTACGGAAGACTTGCGTTGCGACGCAAGTCTTCCGCATGCTCGTACGAGCAAACAGAAGCACTGAAGCGTCGAAGAATAGATTTCTGTGCCGCACAGGAAACAAGGTCCTGCGGCAAGTCCAGGGACATGGCCTCAAACCACCACAAGGAAAGGTGTTGGGATAATAGTCCTGAACGGCTCCGTGGCTTGATAGTAAGCGTGGAACGCTTCGATGACCGTTTAACGTAGATCACTGTAGTCATCGAAAGCCAAAAATGCCATTTCTTCTCAGTGTATGTTCCACAGACTGGATGCTCTGATCAAACCAAGAACAAGTTCAGGAGCCTGCTCGATGGAAAGATAGCTGAGGACCGTTACAAGAAGCTATAGTGTCGCGGGCAACCCCAACTGTCACGTGGATGCTACGAAAGACGGTCACTGTCATGGTGGTTTTGGATATCAGTCACCTAACACTAATGGCAAGCAAATTCCCGAATATGCAGACTTGCATAATCTCGCCATTGTAAACACGAAATTTCGAAGAAGTGACTGTCATCTAATTCCTATCTATATAACAGAACGCAAATTAGTGTCAGCCACCGCGATTAGGGGCTCGCAGCAGACGCCCCATGTCAGCCACCGCGATTAGGGGCTCGCAGCAGACGCGAAGCAGTACCCTATGAGACGGTCGCAACACAACACCGACCACTGATTTTTATGCTAGACATCGCCCCACCGAAATCGAGACTAGCCGAAAGGTGTGGCCCAGCAAGGTTCAAGTGGTGGCAACGAAAGGAAAAAAAAGCGGCTGTCGTCTCTCGCATTCGACTGCCAGCGCTAACGACTGTCAGCGAAACTTGGAAGGAAGCTGCCGAAGCAATAACTCGAGTTGCGTGGTTGGAGCTCGGCATGTACAAGCCGGGACAGCGAAAAGTTGGTAAGCAAAGATGGGTGTGGAGGGATTATGTCTGGAATAAAGTGTGCGATAAGAAAAACAGTACCGAGCATTTGTTTCAGAAAAGACAGTCGATAACTGGCAGTGCTATCAGATGGCGGAGAAAGAGGCAAAGAATTCCGTTGATTGTGCAGAGGCTACTCATTTTGCCGATCTCAAAGGGAAACTCGGGTGTCGCGATGGTGACCGGTACGATTACCGACTCGCAAAGATCCTTCAGTATGAGGATATAGAAAAGTTCTTCGACGTAAACGACGAGAACAGTTGCCTCTTGACGGACCGCAGGCAGAAATTGAACTGAATTAGAGTATTTCGAAAACAGCTCAACTGTTGGATTTGCTCATCCCGCCATCCCTTGCGCTCCGCCTGTACACGCTCCCGTTGAGAAGATAAGCGTAAATGAGATTACGGCTATGGAGGAGATCAATTCAGGCAAAGCAACTGATCCTGTCTATTTAGAGGCGGACCTGTTTGAATGAAAGGGCTAGAATCCTGAGGAGTCCTGATATGAATGCCATGGATTACTCGGTGTGTTATTCCTTGGAAATGAAAGCATGCGTAAGATTACGCAAAAACCTGGATGGTCTTGAGAAGGCACTGCGAAAAGCCGGGAAACAACTCGCATTCTAGTTGTCGACGCCTTTACTATTTGTCTCCAGGGTTGAGTAGAAGCAGGAAGCACAGCTTTCAGCTTTAGCATTTTTTTGGTTTCAGGGTTCCTTTGTAAAGAGACAACAGTAATGACACTTTTCTGAGACAGTTTGCTTTATTAGCTTAATCTTCGTTTCCGATGTATTGTTCATGTCAGCATAATTTTCGGTCACCCTGTAGATAGCAGAAGGATCAGAAGGATTGGGTTAGAGTAGATTAGGTTTTCTAGATCTCCTCATTAGAGATTAACGCTGTCTTCCTGGTTTTCCTTAGCGTGGGTGCTTTACATTCCGATAGGTATATCGCTTAAAGAGCGGAACTATGGTTTTACAATTACAGGGGGAAAACTCTACAGATGTTCTTGTTCAATCATACCAGGTCCAAACGCCATAAAATTCTTCATTAACATGACGGGTATCGAAAGGCGAATGAGGGTATTGAAAAAACGACCTATCTATGGGCACCGACCACTTGAAACCCTTGCACGCTTATAAAGTGGTTTGAGCACTTCTAAATATGTGATTTTGTTTGGAATGATTCATGATTCCATCCTCATTCTCGAATCAGTCGGTTTCTCGATTGAAAATGCGCGCTAAATTCAACAGGAAAAGATGGATTGTTCTGACTGGAAATAAGGCAGTTCGACTTGTCGATATAACTGATGAAGTTAAAGGTAAGCCTGTTTTTGCACTCGAGTAGAGGCGAAACTGCACAAATATCTTCTTTATTGAGGACCAGTCGTAAACTCAGCAACAACGAACACTTCACGGTACTGTGGATTCTTGCTGTTTCTTCAACAATAGGAGCAGCGCTTTCTTCTCTTCAATGCGCTTCTTTCTATCATCCAGAGAGGATTTGTGGATGTGATAGCTGTCAAAGATAATCGTAGAAATTTGCTTAAGCAGACAATAGAATAGGTTCTACCTTTTCTTCTGAGTTATTTTCCTTGACTGTCTCACAATACGATTCGGGTTGCTTCTAATACGCTCATGAGCTTCCTTGTACATCTTGAAGTAAAAGGAATGAAGAGAGAAATAACTACTTGACGTGATTTTGCACTACTCAAGTATTCAATTAGACACTCGAGTATTATTTAGACAAACCTCCTCTAAATTATCTGGTTCAATACCCAGAGCAATGTACTGAGAGAATTGACGCTTGTAGGCTTCACTGTCTGTCTCCTTCAGCAGCCTCATATAGCTGGCCACATGTTTACTCAAAATGCGATCACGGTGGGCACCTGCGTCATATTTCTTTGCCTCAGCATCGTAACCGAAAAAACGGTTCTCGCTAAAATATATACAAATAGTTGTGAATATCCACTAGAATTATGTAAGCGTAAGAAACGGATATAGGGCAATGGAAACATCTGCTCATTGAGACGTATATTCACGAGTACGCTCTGAGTAAACAGCTCTTATATGGAAAGTAATTATACTGGAAATAAGGAATGAAAACGATTAAAGTTGGTGGACAGGAAAAAAGCTATTCTCTGACGACAGTTTGCCAAATGCCCTTCTCACCTTGGCTGTAGGCATACTGAACCAGCAGCTCCCGTGAAAAGATCGACTCTGAATGATCCAAGTGAACGAAACACATTGCTCTATACTCGTTAAAAGCAGGTACATAAAGGTTCTAACCTATCTAGGACCAGTAAATGGAGAGTGTAATTGACCCCGCTCTTTGAGACTTAACTGCAACGAGTATAGCAAATGCTCAACGTAGTCATTGTGCGAATGCTAATGTGGGATGCTACTTTTCTCTTGCGCGAGAAGATTCATTTTATGGCAGCAGCGGACCTTTTCCTTAAATGTGGACGATAAATGACCAAAGAAATCATGGACTTGTGATTTTGGCGAAACATTTCTAATCGATTTGAGCTGGAATTAAAGCGTGAAAGTAACATATCCAACAAAACACCATAAAAGCTCGGGAAAAATTGCAATTAGGACACCTGATTGAACGAAACTGGGATTCCTTCTTCCACCTTTCATAAACGATCCAATCCAAAAAACATAAAAATGCAGGGAATATAAGACAAGGAGATCTCGTAAACTGGCTTGCCAGTTGCGAGTGCAAAAAAAAAGAACCGAATAGTAGAAAAAGCCTCCAACCTGTGTGGTACTTCGATGCCACCGTCTACGACTCCTTTCATGACGCCGAAAACCTTACAACCAGTTGTTGTCCGCGACAATCCAACATCTAGCACTGCTTTGAACGGTCTGCGACCGCCCTCCTCTTCAGTAATACAGTACTTACCAGTGACCTGTGCTTTGTATTTTCAATTCGAAACCAGGACCAAGGAAAATGAATGAATACAACCTCATCTTGCCCTTTGAACTTCTTATCCAATCCCAATCGTTTCAGATGACGCCGAGCGAGCAGAAGGCCAGTGGCATACGCGGCAGCATAATTTGTTAAGCCAACCTATATGCCAACGAAATGCTTACAGTAAAAAAGCTGAACAAAAACCTCCAACAATACCAACTTTGATGCCGTAGTTAGGAAGTTCGTGGGAGTATGCAGCGGTGACCACAACATCTCCTTCAATCTTTGAGTATGCAATCTAAAAGTAATAAGAGAGATAGTAAGAGTAAGAGATAAGAGAGGAAAAGTTATGTTTCAATCACTAGACGATTTGATGAAAATTTAAATGAAAAGATTCACGTGGTACAAACATAGAAAGAATAATTATTAGCAAAAGGGTAAGGTGTATGTTATTGACAGACACACTGCGTACATGGTGAATTTACTCGTTTAGTATGTGAATCAACCATGATCATCTCAAGTAGTTCCCAGGCAGTGGGGGCAAATACGCCGGAGAAATAAAGCTTAATGTCATGGTCCTCCCACTCAAATAAGGCTTAGCGCATCTAAAAGTAATGTTTACAAGCACTCTTAGAGGGTGCGCAGTGCGGAAAACAAGGAATTTCNCTCTTACCTGAGCAACGATATCCTTGTTTGTGAAACGAACGATGAGCCTATACTTTGGAGTATTATACTTATTCTTGTCCTGCACCGTTAGCCTTTTCCTTGCGTAGTAATCGGTCTGACCTCGACGTCGTCGCTTGAGCTTTACTTGGAATCTTTTGAAAAATGCATTGTTCTTAACTATCTTCACAGCACCCATATTCTGAAAGTTTTCATATAAATCAGAAACGAGCAGAGTAAAAAACAAGGACAAGGTTGCTTGGGAGTCAGGTTTGCAGTCATGAATTAACATATGATATAAACGTGATGGTAATGGGTCCCACAGTGAAACACCTGCTTGAGCATGTTCACACGTGAGTGCTATAGTAACATCCTACAGAGGAACGTCCATTCCGCGCGTCCGTCGAAAGTAGGTCACCCCGCCCCGTTCCCAGTCAAGTCTCGAGATGATATTACAATACCACCAAGCGTCAGGCGGAGCCAATTATTTGGATTTGTTGGTGTTATTTTCTCTTTGAGTTGAATGCCGTGGACTGAGCGTAAATCGCATGCTTCCCTAACAACTGCGACTTCTGTCAAGTATCGCGGGCTGACCGGCTGTGGAATGACCTATTTTCGAAGGACGCGCGCGACAAAGTGGCCCATCCTGCCATACATAGCGCACCAATCTGGGGTGTGTATGGGTGTAAGTCGTTTGGCGCGATGGGCGGGGTCGCGCCGCCCACTTGAGGCGGTCCGCGGGGTGAAAAACTCGTTCACATCGGGCAAAACTCTGTCTGCCCTCTCCAGCTGATAAAAACGCGATCAATGACGCCGCTACTCTTAGACGCCGAATTGCGGACATGCTCGTATTCTGCCTACGTACATCTTCCATTTGGCGTTTTCGGACAGTATCCATGGAGAAAGGGGACAAGAAGCAATAAAAAATCGCGCAAAAACGCAAATGGATGATGTATGTAGGCAGAATACAAGCAGGCCCGCAATTCGGCGTCTAATAGTAGCGACGCCATTGATCGCGTTTCTATCAGCTGGAGAGGACAGACAGAGTGTTGCCCGATGTGAACGAGTTGTTCACCCCGCGAACACCTCAAATGGGCGGGGCGACCCCGCCCATCGCGCCAAACGACCGCCTCCCGTGTGTACCGGTTCGTGCGATTCTGGGTGCGCGCGGCAAATTGCGCGGCNGATTCGAACGACTCTGACGCCTATTATTGGGGCACAAACTTGAAGTAGAATAGTTGGGTATGGTCAGCTGATCCTAATAATCTACTCTACTTGAAGTTTGTCCCCCATTAACAGGTCTCAGATTCGTTCAAATCGCGATGAAATCCGCCGCGCAGTTTGCCGCGCGCACCCAGAATCGCACGAATCGTGCGTCCCCCCACCAATCTGTGTTTGTGGGTGTAGGTGGGTGTGGGTGTGTGTATGTGTATTTGTGTGTTGTGTGCGTGTGTGTGTCCGACCGGTATTCATGACTCCAGTTCCCATGCACTTCAGGAGTTCAAACTATATGGGGTACAGGTGGCAAGATGTGAACACTGAAGAAAGGTGATAGGAAGTGATAACATTTGATAAGAGCTGATAGGGAGCTTCAGAGGCAAGAGCCACTGGATCCTCTACAGAAATGAAAATTCCGTGCGTACGTAAAAATTCTCCTACAGTAATCCGGCGCGTTACAGCTCCATCTTAATTCGCAAATTCTGTCATATATACGACGCATAGAAAAGGGAACAAGGACACGGGAGTGGACGGTGGGGAAGCTAGCGGGTTACTGTAGTAGCCGAGTGCTCGTACTGAATTTTCGTTTCTGTGTATCCACAGAAACTCTGTGTATCCACTACCTTCTTCGGGTGGACCGTGGAGCATTGGGCAATTTAAAAGGGGTGAGGGATAAGAGGGCACTTTAGATGTTTGATGATAGGAACTGATAACAACTGTTAGGGATTAATAACGAGCCAAAGAAGGCTGCTAAGCCTATAACCCCCTTCGTATAAAAGTATTCGTGAAGGCTTGGCACTTTTGTAAGTGTTGTGGGATAAGAAGGGACCGCAGGTGATTAGTGATGAGGGCTAATAGCAAGCGGAAAGGGCTGACAAGGAATCATGGAAAACTGGGGCCATTAGGTCTTCGTGTTTAACAGTGGAACCTTGGCGCTTCATTAGGTGATGTAGGATGTGACGGGATCGCAGGTTCACTGTTGTGGCAGGGGCTGATAACAACCGATAAGAGCTGATAACGAACCTTAAAGGGTAGGAGTCACTCACCGACCAGATCCTAACGCC